TTGGCGGCGCGTGCTTGAGGTGCTCAGAAACATGCATCTTGATTTACTTCTCTGTGGCTGCAGAATAAAATTTCATGATCCCTCCTACACAAGCAGAAATATTTGATTTAGATATATGCAACAGCAATCTGCAATCATTCACCAAAGGCCCCACATTTGTAAGCAAAAATATGTTTCCTTGCATCCATTACTGGATAAAGCCATCTCAGCAACTGTTAACTAACACTTAGGCTGTCTACAAAGAGGCACTAAGCAGACTGCACTTTTTTTTTTAGAAAGCTTGCATTCTTTAATGTGTGCATTAGAATGTTGACCATTGTCAACACCTTATAATAACGTTCAGTTGTAAGTCTGTAAGTGGTTAGTTAATGAACTACTTTGAAAATATTAGTATCATTTGCTAATCATTTATGAATGTTTTGTCAATTCCGTTACAAGTCATTTACAAGTTATAGTAAAATTATTAATGTATAAAACATGAATATACGTTTCATAAATGAAAAAAAATAATAATGTATGCATCTAGCAATTAGAGGGGGAAAGTGTTGTAAATGTCTTGTATTCATGTACATATCATTTGAAACAGGTAAGTAACAGTTTTTAACAGTGTGTAAATGCATGAATAAGTCATTTACAACACTTTCTGTATCCCCTAATCTAAAGTGTATAGTAATCGCTAGTAAATGTGTTACAAAGCATGCGTAGATCTTATGCCTTATTGATTCTTGAAGTGGTAATCTACGAATGAAGTGTAAGACATTTACAAGTGATGAATAGTTCACACTTTATGCAGAAAGTGTAAATGATTAATTCATGCCTTTACACATCTATAACAGGTGTTGAACACTGTAGTGTGTACTGCAGTGTAATTGCTGACTAGTGAGGTTGTAGACAGCTGTCTTCTCTAAAACACACGGAGTCTAACCACTGGGCACCTGACATTTATGAAACGTAATGATTAATAATTTACAAAACACGACTATTCAATTGTAAATGACTTGTAATAATTTACAAAACATACATGAAGTGTTAGCATATCACTTGCTTAACATTTATGAATGTTTTGTATATGATTAGTTCATCATCAACCACTTATAAATTACTTAAAACACTGAAATAACAGTTTGTAATAACGTTCAGTTGTATCAACCTGTTGTCCTTTGTGCAATTTACAAAAGTTAGCTTTGTGCTTGGTAGAGGGCTGCATTGGGATTGAGTACCGCCGGGTCCCACGGGAGTGTAACATCCGTTGCGGGAGCGGGCGGTAATGGTCAGAGATTCGGCGGGGTGAGGAAAATAGTCCTGGCCAGGGCTCTACTTGGAAACACATTGGACTCAATAAAAATTACTATTGAGAATAATTTTGCACAAAAAAAATAAAAGGGATTAAAGGGATACTCCACTTTTTATGAAATAGGCTCATTGTACAACTCCCCTAAAGTTAAACAGTTGGGTTTTACCATTTTCTAAATCATTCAGCAAATTTTCTGATATTTAGAAGAGTATATCAGTAACCAGATAGTTTCTGTTCTCATTGACTTCCATAGTGGGAAAAACATATATTATGGAAGTCAATGGGACCAGAAACTGTCTGGTTACTGATACTCTTCTAAATATCAGAAAATCGTAAATAGTAAAACTCAACTGTTTAACTCTGAGGGATTTGTAAAATTAGCCAATTTCCAGACAAAGTGGAGTATCCCTGATAATACAACACATCAACTATTTGTCAGAGCAGACTGTTTTCAGTTGAAGGCTACTTCAACTTCAAAGTAATAAGGACCACCACAGGAAGTCATTCATACCCAGAGGTATAACAGTTTGTACTGACTCACCTTTATGCCATGAGAGGAGAATAATATTGAGATCTGTTACTTTTAACTTTGCTTTCAAATATGATTTAATCAGTCAGACTTTGAAGGGTTAAAGGAGTAGTTCAAATTTAAAAAAATAAATAAAAAAAAGCTTTTGCTGATAATTTACTCTGCCCCATGTCATCTAAGAAATCCATGTCATTCTTTCTTCAGTCGAAAAGAAATTAAGGTTTTTGATGAAAACATTCCAGGATTTTTCTCCATATAATGGACTTTACTGGGAACCAAACGGTTCAAGGTCTAAAAGACAGTTTCAGTGCAGCTTCAAAGGGCTTTAAACGATTCCAGATGATGAATAAGGGTCTTATCAAGGACCCTTTGAGTCATGACTCGAAAAAAGATTAGTTCATTTTGATGAACGAGTTCAAACAGGAGAGTCACGAACGCTCATCACAGAACAGAGCAAGGCAAGCATTTGTGCTCATAAAACTTAAACTTTTTTATTTATTTATTAATGAGCGATCGTTTCGCTAGATAAGTCCCTTATTCATTGTCTGGTGTTTTTAAAGCCCTTTGAAGCTGAACTGAAACTCTCATTTGGACCTTGAACCGTTCCCATTGAACTCCATTATATGGAGAAAATACTGGAATAATCCTGGAATGTTTTCATCAAAAACCTTAATTTCTTTTTGACTGAAAAAAGAAAGACATGGACATCTTGGATGACATGGGGGTGAGTAAATTATCAGCAAAAGCTTTCAAAAGTGAACTACTCCTTAAAGAACTCTAATGATATCTTTACCCCCTGATAGGGTTAATATTGCAAATATTCTATTGCAGATATAAATTCAAACATTTTAAAGGCTAAGAGTATGAGCCATGAGTAAACTGGCCAGATATCTGTGAAAAATAACTTGCGTACCTAAAGTTGTCGACCCCCTGAATTCAGCATTTAAAAGTAAAAATAATTTCAGTATTTATCAGTAAAGAAATACATAAAAATAAATAAATACCTTTGAGTTGGACAGTACGATGTCTCATTGGCCAACTTATTTCAAAACACACCTAGAGAAATAAAATAAAAATACCAATGACCATGATATTCTGTTATCATAATAGTTAAATTCATTATTATAACTATGACCTTTATAACATGATATTTGCCATCTATTATTTAGCTGATTATTTAGCCTAAAGGCTTCTTAAGGACAAAAAAAAAAAAAAAAACTGGGGTTAAGACTTCTTTCAAAAGTATAAATCCTACAGACCTACAACTTTTGAACAGTAGTATGTTTGAGGTTTTGCTTACTAGTCGAGTTCATAGCCGTGGAGATTGTCTTGGACAGGGGGTGCAGTAATTAGGACATCAACATGATCTTAGAAAATAAAATGCAATGTGTCACAGCCAACAATGTTACATAGGATTAGAACATAGGGTTTATTACAAGGAAGCAAGCATATATAATTTCTCTTTTCTGCATTTCACCTCTCCTCTAGCTAAGAAAAGAGAAAGTATATAAATATTATTAAATAAATGCATAATATTACTATCATGAATAAACAATAAATCCCCCTTTTATTGTGGACGTTTTTTCCTCATGAAATCACTTTTTTAATCAATCTTTGTAACGTTAAGTGACGTCACTGATTAATAATACATCGCATTATTTTAGGCTAACGTTAAATAAATTAGCTTAACGTTACTTCCAATCACCCATTGTAAATTACCAGCAAAAAAACTATCAAAAATTATTATCTACACAAAGATAAAACCCCAAACTTATACAAAACAGCTTTAGAGTAACTTACCTTAGCTAACTTAGCTGCTAGCCTCTTCTGAAAACGATTGAGATGCTAACGGACTTTTTCGAAGACCCAAAATCATTTCTATAAAGTAAATATTCAACAGAAGCGTATCAATTACACGCAATAAAGGTGTCAGGAATATTTTTATGTAGTATTTGTGTGATTTTGTTAACTTAACTTACCTGAACGCAGTGACAACAGCGAGAGACGCTAGTTGGTGTTTGTCAGTTGACGATATCCTGTTTCAAACTGCTCGCGCGCTCCTGTGATTTGAATGTTCACGCGCATCAAAGGCACGCACGCAGCATTAAGAAAAACATCTTATAATAATTTATAATGTCATTAATATTAAATCATGAAGTTAAAACTAATTTTTTAGTTCTATGATATTTGTATAACATATTTGCTTTTGATTTTATTTTTATTGTAGGCGGGCCTATTTATATATAAATAAAAAAATAAAAATAAAACAAATATTACAAATCAATAATTTCCAGCAACTGTCATAGACGTCCAAATGCCGTCCAAAAAAAGTTACCCAGTTTAAGGTCAAATTTTTGACGTCAAGATGACGTCCAAGTTGGGTCATGGTTGGACGTCCAAATAACAGACCTAGTTTGGACGTCGAATAGACGTCCACAATTGGTCATGGACCGACGGACCTAATATAGACATGATCTGCACGTCTATCCGACGTCCAATGTTTAGTGGGTATCGTCATATTTACCTCAGAAAACCCACATCAACTCGTTAGTCAGCTAGAAAAATAACTCTAGAGAGGAGTATTTTGCTAAATATATACACCATATTACATATGCATTATAGTCTTAATGTTCTTCAATATTTAATGCATATTTGAATAAATCTGGCAAGTTTTTATGACAGTCACCATGTAAATGTTTATATAATCTTCTTATTATAAAAATAAATAAAAGTGTAATTTAAGTGTTTGTATAGCTACAAAACAGTTCATTATTACCTTCATATTAGGCTAATGAAGCCTAGCAGGCTACTACAACTAGACTCCCATAGTTTACAGCATTAGTTAAGAGATTTGATTTCCTTGAGAAAATTAGCCATTTATTGTAACTGTCTGATATCCAAAATAATTAATATTGAATCGAAACGGAATCGAAATCGAATCGAATTGCAAGCTTATGAATCGAAATCGAATCGAATTGTGAAATTTGTGTCAATACCCAGCCCTACATTCTAATATGATGATATCTGCTCTTTTTTTAAAGTTTCTTTTATTATTAAAAAATAACATCATGTAATAGTATTTCACAATATTAGGCTACTGTTTTTTCTGTATTTTTGATTAAATAAATGCAGGCTAGATGAGCATAAGGCTTCTTGCAAAAACATAAAATAGTATCACTGTCACTCACACACATCTGAAAAACCCAGAAAAATTAAGTGCTCACAGATTGGGTGTGGCCTTTGCCATTAAGAAAAAATGTTCAATAAATTGTAAATAATCTTTTTCTGGGTTGTGACGTTTCATTTTTCCCCTATCAATTTCTACATTTTAGTTTGAGTTTTAAAACTTACAGGTTATTTTTTTATAGTATAACGACCTCTTAACCGTCAAAATATCATTAAAGCTACATTATGCATTTTTCTCCGCCGCTAGGGGTCGCTAACCTCTTACAATAACAAAGGCGTAGGTTTAGGACGCAGTGAATAAGCGTAATGATGGAACTTGTCATGCAGATGGATCTAATGTGTATGGAAAATGTATTTACATTTTTCAAACTCATGGTTGAAGGGGTTATTTAAAAAAAAATTCTCCCGGAGGTGCAATTCCCCAAACCGCACACCGCCCCGCCCACAGCCCCACCCCGCCCCGCCCACCGCGGCTTGGTAACAACCTCCGGCACCTAACAGCACCGCTGCTGAAAAAATTTCTAGGGGAAACACTGTATGTGTATGCTAGGTCAAAGAGATGTGTTTTTAGTGTAGATTTGGACTGACAGAGTGTATCTGCTTCCCGGACAATGTTAGGAAGACTGTTCCAGAGTTACCGTTACTGCCGATATCTACAGAATAATTTATGTTACAATTATTCATTTTATCTTTGAAGTACTTGAATAAAAGTTTATAGTTTAGATAAACACAATGTCAACGTAAGTAATCAAAATAGAGCAAATCACCTTCTGAAAGTAACTTGAAGCTTCAAATAAAGATTGTACCAATTATATTGTTACGTCACAATGTGGGAAAAGGGACTGTTAACAAATGTATTTGTCATTGAATCATTCATTCAAGAGATTTGTTTGAACATGCTAATTTATTCAGTAATAAAACAAATGAAGTAATTATGAGTGAGTCATTGAATCCATTATTCAAAGTTTTTAAAGAAATCATGATCGATTAAATTTATCCAGAATCGTGCTGCTCTATTATGCATCACACATTCTCAGATCGACATAGGTTAGGACTGCAGGCAGGGCAATCTAGTACCTGCACTCGGTTCTGATGCAGCAATACACCTGTAATCTGGGTAGTACTGTATGTGTCCTGCTGGAAAAATGCAGGGACGTCCCTGGAAAAGACGCGTCTTGATGGCAGCAAATGTTGCATTACAATTGCATGTGGAAGTACACTGTTTCCAAAGTGCAGAGGGAGGGTTCATCAAGTTAAACTGTTTGACACTTCTAGGTACTTCTTTCTTTGAGCAGGTCTGGTTTAAACTAATGCTACGATTACAAAAGCGCGTTTTCGTTTTAAAACAAAGCATTCACTACAGTTACGCCTGGCTTCCACACTAGACCGGAGTTTTCGACCCTCAAAAACGGATACTTTTGGAAACCCCTCTAGACCCCCGTTTTAGTTTGAAAACTCCACGGTTGCGTTTTAGTGTAGATGGACCATAAACTGAGACTTTTGAAAACGAAGATATGGCTGCCCACATTCGCTCCCTGATTGGGCCTTCTCTATCACCTTCCCTGATTTGTCAAGCCCCTATCATATGACCATTATGCTACCGGAACACTACAATCACAGACCAGCCTCGACAACTATAAACAATAATATGGACACAGAACTGCGAGCTTTGCTGACTTTGTTGTCCTTTTTAGCGACCATTGTGCACTTAAAGGGATAGTTCACTTTGAAATTAATTTTTGATATGTTTTAGCTTACCTCAAGGACATCCAAGATATAGGTGTCTTTGTTTCCACAGTATTTTCAATTTTTACATTTTTCGGTCAAACCGCTGTTGTCTGTCAGTCATATAATGCAGGTTTAGGGGGTCCACTTCCAAGAGCATGCACAGAGAAGTCAAAATTAAACATGATTTAATGACTCGTGAATGTAAGTACACACTGATGGCCTAAGACACGAAACGAGCGGTTTGTGTGAGAAAACGAACAGTATTTATATAGTTTTTACCTCTTGTTAACAGCCGTCGAACTGATCTGAATCAGATGTCCAACTGAACCGAACTGAACCGTCCAACGTTAACTTCCACTCGCAACAGGCAAGCTATTATTAGAGCAAAATTTAAAATTTTATGGGATAAAGTGAGTCATTCCACATATTACGTCTATTCACCACATTAAAGGGGGGGGGGGGGTTGACTGCGATTTCACTTTTTTCATTTTAAATAGTGTGTAATGTTGCTGTTGGTGCATGAACAGTATCTGCAAAGTTGCAGCGCTGAAAGTTCAGTGTAAGCAGAGATATCGTCTTTTAAAAATCAGGAAGTATATTGCCTACAAAAACGACTGGATTGGGACTACAGCTGGGTTATGGTACGTCACTAACCCAAACATTTGCATGAACCACTCCCTCCGGAATAAGCAGAAAAGGGCATGGCCATATTTCTGCAGCTCCAGCAGCTTGTCGAGTGTGTTGTTCACGCAGCTGTCAGGTCTTATGTCTTCGAACTTCCCACGGACGCTGTACTTCGTCAACAATGGATACAATTTATGTTTGATTATGTTCCTGAAAATGACGATCGTAATCTAGCTCTCTGTGCTGCACATTTTACGGAAGACAGCTTCCAGAATCTCCACGAGTTCAACACCGGGATTCAACGAGAAACTGTAAACATGAAGCAGTTCCGACTTTAAAACCACAGTTGGGCCACAACCTGTAAGTAGGCTAAGACTTAACCATTTTAAATGTATTTGCATGTATAATTCCAGATGTAACGTTAGCCTTGTGTTTTAGTTTTTTTTCCAAATACCAGCGCTAGCTTTATTGCCAAGGCTATTAGTTATGCTATTTTGTGTCTACGACAAACGCGTACAAACAATGAATTTTGTATAAGTGCTAATGTTGTAAATCTATTTTTCATGTATATATGTTTTATGACGTTATTTTCGATTTGATCAAGAACGTAAACTTGCCACCGCTGTTTGAGTATAACATTAGTAGCCAGTCAGTTGCTATTGTTGCCAGTCAGATGCTATTGTGTTAAACAAACGTGTATAAAGTGAAAAAATGTAGCAAATTATCATTCAGAAACGTTTATTAAGAGCCGTGTGTGGTGTGGTTCTGTTTGACTCGCTTCATCGCGGCTTTCTCTGTCTGATTCTGGGTCATACTGATACTGCAGTTCGACGCATATTTACATCTGGACCGGAGCTCATGACGTGCCCGTAAAGGTAATGGGCGTTAACTTTCCGGAAAACGTAAGCGACAGTTTAGCCAATCACAACTCACCGGACCAAGCTAACCAATCTGAGCCCACGACGTGTTTCTGAGGGAGTGTTTTCATAGAATCAGGAAGTGAACCGCTCGTTCGAGGACAGGGGAGAGCGCGGCTGACAATAAACATGAAGTTTATGAAAAATAAGACTTTTTAAAAACGAAAAACCACGAATACATGTTATATTGCACCCCATAAACACAATCATGCAAAGAAAAAAAACAGTCAACCCCCCCTTTAATAATTATGTGGACAAGTTTAACTGAATTGCGGCATTGACGTAAATTTCTGGCTTTATGTGTTTTCACTGTTATACAGTAGGGGGCGCCATGACAAGCTAAAATTTGATTTTCTCAGCTTTTTGCTCAAATTTTATTTTTTTGGGTTTACAAAAAACTTCCCAAAATTTTGATTAAAAAAAGGGATGCTTTAAGCAAGAATAAAACGTTTAGTTTTTTTAGTTGTTTTGTGTGTTTGTTTGTTTAAAGCAGAGGCTCTTTTCTTTCTTTTGATATATTGCATATTCAGATGTTTACATAACAAAATATCCTGGGGGCCATAACATTTTTGTGAAAATTTAAAAAAATGCTGGCAGTCTGGCAACTTAAAAAAAATGCTGGTGAGGAAAAAGTTAAATCTTTCCTGTTTATTATATTATAATCCATTACAGTGCACAAAACAATCATCCTGGCTAAAAGATGAACGCAGCAACAATATCACAGCACTACTGAAGTCCTCAGATTTCATTGTTAATATAATCTATAAATATAACAGAGACACAAGATGGCAGCTGCTACATTTGAATGAAACAAGCAAGAGCACAAACCCTGATGGGTAGTATGATATTCAGCATGCTATTGAGAGAATGTTTGTCATTCGGGGAATAACACCTTGGAATGTTGTGTCAGAATAAAGTATTCCAGTGAGCCATGTAATAATTTGCAATAATGTATATTATGCAGTTGATTAGCTAAAACATAGTATGCTGTCTTTATATAATTTTATTTTGAATGCATGGGATTATATATTAAATAGCTATCATTGTGCACTCAGAATAATTAATTTGCTGTCACACAAAAAGATTGACATAAATAATTAACTACTAATTATTCTGACTCATATTTAAACTCTCATTCATAATTTGGTTACAATATGATTCCTTGCCATCTTGCTGTACAATATAGCGAAACTGTACAGCGGTTGCAAAAACAAAACTGAAGTATTTTTTTGGGATTATTATGTGTAGGCATAATTTGGGGCTACACAACCTTTCAGAAACCTGTAGTAATTCTCTGTATTTGTATATGTGTGTAGGCAGGAAGTGATGGTCAGAGTATTGGGAACTGCCCATTCTCTCAGCGGCTCTTCATGGTCCTGTGGCTGAAAGGCGTGACCTTTAATGTGACTACTGTTGACATGAAGAGGTTGGTGATTCTGTGCAACTCATGCAGACATTCACAAACCTAAAGCAGTTAAATAAAGTTATCATTTCAAGTATGCAGGGAAACCTAGCATATTACTGTTTCAATCCAGTAGTACGAAAATATTGGTAATAGTATATCTTTTAAACTAAAAATAAGAAAGTATACTTTCAGTCTACATTTTATATACTTCTCAGAAATATTTTTTTTGTACTTCTCAGAAATATACTTAAATTGCACTTAAGTGTACTTGACTTATACGGAGAGAAAAGTCCAAGTATATATTGGGTGAACCTGCTAGTGTTGCGGAGCGGGCATGTAATTTTTTAGCAATCAAAAAGCATATCTAATTAATTGAAATCATGTATTATTAACTTTTTTTTTAAAATATATAATTCTGTGTTTTTGCTGGTAATAAAATGAAGCCATAAAACACAAATTTTATCATTTATCATAAACTTTTTTTGTCAAATAACGTGCTGCACAATGAGCTTTACTGTTAAAATGTAAACATGGGTTATTCCTCAAATTCAGTTTTGTTTAAAAAATGTATAATTTATTTGGATTAGTGTTAATGTATTATTATTATGTTAATGTATTATATGTATATATCTGGACATATCTAAATTCTACTGTACAACAGTAATACATTTCTGTCAAGTTAAACCAAACTTTTATTTTGATGGGTTGTTGTGAAGACCTTTTGAGTTTTTGTGTGTTTATGTCATGATGATAGTGTAGGAGCCATTCTAACGCAATTATAGTTTTGTCCACTGGGGGCACTCTGACATTGATATATGAGGACCACATGGGTAATTAGATACAGGTGTATTGGTAGTGAGGAAGCACACAGTTTTTTGACCGTGTTAAAGCCATGTACTATGTGGAATACCATGCTGACCATGTCTAAGTTTGTGTTGGATTGAGTTTAAAGGTGCTTAACCATGCTCGCTGATAAAGAGTGATATGCAAGGACAAATGGAATATGGACAATGTGTGTGCGCTGTATCTGCAAGGTATGGATTAGTATGTTTGAACAACAAAGAATGAAACAGCACAAGAAGCTAATTGGAAGCAACATGTATCAATTAGAGCACAAGAAATAAAGACATTGGTTGCATCTTATATCTGAGTTCATGGAGTTTATAGTTAAGGACATGGAGTTAATTACTTGCTCACTCCTATTGCCAATACCACAGCGGCTTAATGGAAAGCTGTTACATAAAGTCAAAAAACTTTGTTTCGCTAAGTAGTTGAGCATATAAAATAAACCTGCTTCCAATGGACTGTGAGCATAAGCTGCATGTGGATGCCACTTCAGAGATGGAGACTTCTTTGAGCATGAGTTCTTCAGCACATCAAGGATTCATTTCATGGACATCAGATTTCATCATGGAAATGTGATCCATTGTTCCTGTTGGATTCGTAGTGGATCTACTTCACTCTTCCGGTTGGATTCGTACTGGATTTGCTGTTCCTTTTGGATTGTTTATTGCTGGGACAACGCTTGATTCGGCAGCAGATTAAAAGATAGTTTGCAACCACAAATGTTTAATGGCCATTGACTCTGTGTGCACACACATAATGGGTAAATCCAATGCATTGGTTGCTGAAAGTTAAACATTTATTCTTTGTACTGCTTGGGTTTGAGTATTGTGTGTAATATGGATGAACTGTGTTTGGCCGTGGAGGAATCCTCTGTGACAAAACAACAACAAATTAATGAAAATGAGCCTGAAATGCAAAAAAGGACAATTAAGCTCTCAGCAAAGGCATTGGTGGAAAGACTTGATTCATTACAAAAACTGAGAAAGTCAAAGCTGAACAAAGCGCACAAAATGATTGAGACTATTAAAGGGTTGATGCAAAGTAACAAAGAAAATGATTCTGAAGTATGAAACATGTATGAAAACTTTAATGATTTGTGTTTAGGGGCTAAAGAAGCACATGATTCATTGTTGACTGTGTTGCCTGACAATGAAATTGAGAAACATGATATTTGGTTCAAGGCAAAACTGATTCCAATTAATGAGTTTATTGAACATGTGAATGTATGGTTGTCTACACCTGTAGCTTCTGAAGGGGTTGAGGTAAATGTTAATGATTATATAGTTCCTGAGGACAGTGTTTCAAATGTATCAAAGGTTATCACTGCATTTAGTAAGTGTAGTTCAAGCAGCAGAAGTTCTTCCACTTCATCAGCCCGCATACAGACAGAGGCAGAGAGAGCTGCACTTGTGGCCCGTGTCACTGCATTGAGAAGTAAACGTGCAATTGAAATACAGCAGGAGGAATTGAGAAAAAAAAATGGAACAACTGGAATTAGATGCTGAAATTGCAGCATCCACTGCAAAAATTGCTGTTTTGAGGACGAGCGACAGTCCTAGAAACTGTTCATGTACTGGCAGTTCACATTCTAAAGGAAAAGGATCAACAAAGGCTCAGATTTCAAGGGATGTGACAGGAAATTAGGTTTTTCAGTCCACAAGACCAAAGTTGTTAAATCCACAAGTTACTGAATATGTGCCAATGAGTGGAATCCCAATGGATACAGGTAGAGTTATCAGCAGTGTTCCAACACAATCCGCTGGTGCTTCCTGTAACATCACAACCCGACCAACATTAATGCAGCCTAAAGGGTTGTTGAACATTCAAGATGGCAGTACTTACCAACAAGGATACTCGCATTCCTATGCTCACCATACCAGAGGTAACAGGGCAACATCTCAAGCTATGAACCGTCTTCCATCTCAAGGTGAACCCCTGTATGAGATTTTGAAAAAGCAGAAGGAATTAACAACATATCTGGTACATCAAGTTCAACCTCAAACACTTCCCAAAAGAGAGATTCCAATCTTTGATGGCAATCCACTTCAGTATGTGTCATTCATTAGAGCTTTTGAGCACAGTGTTGAAGAAAAGACACGCAATAAAAGGGACTGCTTGTATTTTTTGGAACAATTCACGACAGGACAACCCAAAGTACTGGTTCAAAGTTGCCAACATCTGGATCCAGAAGTATGTTATGTAGAAGCCAAGAAACTTCTGAAAGAGCAATTTGGTGATGAATTCCAGATTGCAGCTGCATATATGGAAAAGGCTTTAAGTTGGCCATCATTAAGGACTGAGGATGCACAAGGTCTTCATGCATATTCATTGTTTTTGCGTGCATGTAGTAACATCATTGATAATATCTCTTATATGCAAGAACTAAACATGCCAAGTAATATGAGAACTGTGGTAATGAAGCTGCCTTTCAAATTGAGAGAACGTTGGAGAGAAAGAGCCTGTGAGATAATGGAGTTGAATCAAGGAAGAGCAAAATTCTCACACATCGTAGACTTCATCGAACGACAGGCAAAGATGGCATCAGATCCCGTGTTTGGATGCATTCATGATAAGCAACCAAGTGCAACTAGCAGGACATTCAAGGGAAACAGTTTTGCTACAAATGTTACAAATGTTAATTCAGTTTCAAGGGGATATGTAACATCACAATTGAGAAACCATTCCGTATACAAGACCAATGATAAAACAACTTGCTTGTTCTGTCAAGACAATCATGTTTTAAAAAGGTGTGATACTTTTAAAAGTAAGTCCCAACAAGAAAAGCTTGACTTTTTAAAAGAAACAGGAGTTTGTTTCAGCTGTTTGAAGTCTGGACATTATAGTAGGGATTGTGACAACCGCCTTGTGTGTGAAGTTTGTAATCAGACATCCATCAGTGTTGCACATACATCATAAGCCAGTTGTGGAGGACAAGGGGCGAAAGTGTAGCCTAGTGTCTGCCCAAACTTGTGGACACACAGGGGCCGTTAATGAAAAATGTTTTCTCTCAATCATTCCAGTGCAAGTAAAATCGGCCAAAGGAGACAAAATAATTCAAACGTATGCCTTTCTGGATCCTGGGAGCTCAGCGACATTTTGCTCCAAGCAGCTGATGGATGAACTGAACATCAGAGGTAAAAGGGTTAACATTTTTCTGCGCACCATGGGACAAGAGCAGTCTGTATCTTGTAATGTGGTAACTGGTTTGGAGATAAGTGGACTCAACAACGATCATTTCTTTTCTCTTCCGGAAGTATACAGAAGAAAATGTCTGTGAACTCTGATAACATTATAACGCAGGAGGAAATATCCAAATGGCCTTATCTGGACAGAGTAAAACTTACACACATTGAGTCTAATGTTGATTTACTCATTGGAGCCAATGCGTCCCAAGTGATGGAGCCATGGGAAATAATAAATAGCTATGGTAATGGACCCTATGCCATTAGAACCCTTCTGGGCTGGGTTGTTAATGGACTTTCAGAGAGGAGTAATGACTGCAGGAATGATACTGGTACACCTTTTGTTACTGTCGACAGGATTTCTATTGGAAGGCTTGAGGAATTGCTTCAACATCAGTATAATTGTGACTTCAATGAAAACAGAGTTTTTGGAAATAATGGATAAGTCAGTTAAGGTACAGGATGGACATTACAATCTTAAGCTACCATTTTGAACTAATGATGTGGTAATGCGTAACAACTTGTGTGTTGCTAAGCAAAGGTGCAAAGGTTTGAAAAGGAAATTTGAAAAGAACAGGCTGTTCCATGAGGAATATACATGTTTCCTTTCTGATATGCTTGCGAAAGGTTATGCTGAGAAGGTGCCAGAAGACCAGTTAAATCGGAATGATGGTAAGGTTTGGTATGTTCCTCATCATGGAGTGTTCCATCAAAAAAAGGAACATTGAGAGTTGTATTTGATTGTGGAGCAACATTTAAGGATACATCACTCAACAAACAACTGTTGCAAGGTCCTAATCTTACAAAGTCACTTCTGGGAGTTCTGATACATTTCAGGCAGGAGCCCATAGCCTTGATGGTAGGGGTGGGCGATATGGAAAAAATATCATATCACGATTTTTTTTAGGAAAATCACGATCACGATTTTTTATCACGATTCTTTTTCAAGTTGGTTTTAATATTTTGCAAGTGGCTGTTCATTACAGCCAAACT